GTCCAACAACCACATCATCAGCATACTCAACTAGGAAACAGGTCCTGTCAAACTATCCAAAACCACTTGGACAGCGTCTGTTGACAACAGCAGAGGCGACCGCAATCAGACTATACAAACCAGTCCTATGCGCACAAAAGAACTTCGTACAGGCCTACAGTTACCATGGGCCAAAGCCACCATGCCAGCCACCTGCGTATAATTATCCGTCCCAGTGCCCACCATCCCTTTCTCCCCTGACACTGACGGTAATTTTGTTTTTCACCCCACCCATCCAGACCCTCCCCCCAAACCCCAGTTACAGAATAACTGCTGCTTGCCCGCATTTTCCTTTTAATCATTTCGACAGCAATATAAATGCATAGGCCTGATGAGAATTTATCGAAAGCTTACGTGTGCTCGCCAAATTGTCTTTTAAGAGAGTCGTTTGGGGATCTTAAATCATTAATTTGGAGGGAGAAGAGGTGAGGGGATAAAATGGAACCTTGAAGAATTCAACAGTCATTGGGAAGGACCTTGGATTTCCGATCGCTGAACTGGACAAATTGAGCGCCGAAAGCAAAGTAATCGTCGAGTTAAGAAACAACCCAGTCTGGAGTGCAGCACTCAGATGTTTTGGTAAGGAGAAGATGGCGCGGGACGGTATTGAAGGCGAAGGAATAGTCAAAGAAAGTACAGGCGTACTTACAGCAACCCTTATCTAGTTCTCGTAGGGCAGAATGGACCACAAGGGCAACAGGATCTAAGATTTTACGTTTGGTCTTATTTGCAAATTGCAAAGACTCGGGAAAACTTTTAGAGAATGACCTTATAATGCCCAGAGCAATTCGTTCAGCAAGCTTCGGTAGTGCGGAAGAGCAGGCATTTGGACAAAAAGATTAAGGACCAAAATTTGCGGTTTTTTAGGAATAGGCTTGATTCATACTGTACGCCAGGCGTCAGGAATCTTGGGCTCCATGCAAGACATACTAATATGGTGCTGCCTGAGAACAGCAAGATTTAAGAAGAAAAGGCGAGACTCCATCCGGCCCGACAGCTGTTGACCCGCGGACCATTTTAAGGTGTTTCTCTACTCTTGCCACAGACACAGGTGAGAAGACAATAGTAGTAGGGAATGCCGTTTAAAGGAAAGTGGGAGTAATTGTGACTAAAGACAAAATTGTCATTTAAGGATTCTAAATCGGCATCCACTTGTTAAAGTGTGCTTTGACGGCCAGTGAGACGCTTAAGATTTCTCCTACTTTCATCAGAGGAAGGAGGAAAAGAGGGAGAGGAAGAAGAGGTAAAAAGCTGACTAACAGACAGGTCATTTAGTCTGACAATCTCTTTTTGTTATTAAAGTAGTAGCATCCTTTAGACTGTCACGTAAATCAAGCTTACGGAGAAGTTCTTTTTTGCATCTTAAAAACTTTAGAGGGTGAGAAGAAATTCTACCCGGTCTTACCATAACAGTATCAAGAGGACGGAAAATGTAAAAAAAATGCCTAACGATGAACGAAGGAGCAAGTCTCTCCAATCTTGAAAATAATCTGGTCCACAAGGTGTTTTCTGTTAAGTAAAATTTCTCAGCACGTTTGGTCACGGAAAATGTACTTCCGCATTAGAACTGGCCTTCCTCTAAAATCCAAAGGTGCTAGGGTTAGTGGTAGGATTATTGTCAAAGTTAGGACAGGGGAGTATGTACCTTCTCTGGGGTTTGGCGCGAGACCACCTGTAATACAGGAAGTCCATAATTCCGTGTCCAAACTTCTGCATTTTATATCTCTATCCGGAGACCGCATGTTTGCTAGAATGAGAACGCAATGAAGGTCATGCTGTGGCAGGGAATTTTGCATATGCATGCTGCTGGATTTGCTGTCTCAACCACTAATTCCCACTTTTTATTTATTTACTTGGAAAAAACACCTCATACGTTTCCTCAGTGGACCGAAATATAATTTTCTGTCCACTGATATCAAAAGTGCCTAGAGTAGATTACCTTAAGTATGTACTACCAAGATTTAAGTGCCGGTCGTAATTTTTGCAAGTCTGTCTGATTTACACTTCGTCTCATCTGATGTAAGACGAGCCTAAGAAGTGTGGGCGACACTGATCTAGACTATCTTCGCAGTAAGCGCCTTTTCGCTGAAGGGTTATGGACTTCAACAACCGGCTCTTAACTCTCTCCTTATATGTTTTCATAGAAGCTTTGCTATGGCGTTGAATGGCGAGTTAGCTAACTTTCCCAACTGTAGCTGGACGTAAAATCGGAATGCCGCATAATAAGTTCGG